CACACACACACACACACACACACACACACACACACACACACACACACTCTACTAAGTTTCAACAGCTACCCTAGTAGCAACATTGAAACTGTCAGTACCTGCCCCAGCCCCGGAGCAACTGCAACTTCTGTAAATTTGTCACTGGGAAGATGATGTACATGAGAGGGAAGCAGAGGCATGGATATCTTCTATATACGCTTCTGGGGAGATTTGCCACTCAGAGAGGAGATTGGGGAAGCAGATTTCTCCTACCTCTACACTCCTGGGTCCAGCAAGTGTGGACTAGAATTCTTCCTCCGTAGAAGGCTGATGAAATTTATTTATTCAGCTTTGGCAGGCACGCAGATGCCATGATGATGGGTGCCAGATAAGACAGACATTTCTATTATTTACTCTTCCAAAGTCACTTTCTTATTCTAATAAGAGTACTAAATTATAGTTAAAATGTAAATACCTGTTATTTTATGTTGTTATAGCCTCACCCGAGAAGCTCATTATTACAATACAGAACTTCCTACTCTGTAATGGTTTTGGTAATGTTAATGCACAAGAAACAATATAGGTGAAATAATCCCTTACTATTTTGACCAATAAAATTTAGGAAAGCAACTAAACTGTGCAGCCAGAGTAACTTGATTTCAACACTTTATGTAAAAAACCAAACCAAACCCAGAACACTTGTATTCCCAAACAGGGACAGGCTATCCATTTTATAAATACATAAACAATATTAAAGAGTAGAATCAAATACTATAATAATTAATCTAAGCTTTATATCACACCCATCATCATTGTATCTGAAGAAAATGTTGGACTGGAAGGGACATCTAGTTCAATTCTCTGCCCAGATACTAGACCATCCTGACAGGTATTCGTCTAACCTCTTCTTAAAAACCTCCAATTCCACAACCTCCCTTGGTAACTTGTTCCAGTGCTTAACTATCCTGACAGTAAGTGTTCTCATGTATAACCTAAGTCACCCTTGCTGCATTTTAAGCCCTTTACTTCTTGTCCTATCCTCAATGGCTAGGGAGAACAATGCATCACCCTCCTCTTTAGAAGTACCTTTTACGAACTTGAAGACTTATGTTCCCCCCAAGTCTTCTCTTCTCCAAACTAAACACACAATTTTTTCAATCTTTCCTCAAAGGTCATGTTTTCTAGACCTTTCATTATTTTTGTTGCTCTCCCTCTGGACTTTCTCCAATTTGTCCCCATCTTTCCCGAAGTGTGGTGCCCAGAACTGGACACGGTACACCAGCTGAGGCCTTATGAGTGCTGAGTAGAGTGCTGCTAATACATCCCAGAATGATGTTTGCTTTTTTTGCAACAGTGTTACGTTGTTGACTCACATTTAGTTTGTGATCCACTATAACCCCCAGATCCTCTTGTACAGTATCCTCCCTAGGCAATCATTTACCATTTTGTATGTGTGCAACTGATTATTCCTTCCGAAGTGTAGTACCTTGCATTTGTCCTTATTGAATTTCATCCTATTTATTTCAGACCATTTCTCCAGTTTATCAAGATCAGTTTGAATTCTAATGCTGTTCTCCAAAATGATTGCAACCCCTCCTAGCTTGGTATTGTCCAAAAACTTTATAAATGTATACATTAAGTCATTATACAAAGCATTTATGAAGATACTGAATAGAACTGGACCAGGAACAGCTCCATGCAGGACCCCACTCAATATCCCCTTCCAGCTTGACTGTGAACTATTGATAACCACTGTCTGAGTTGGTTTTTCCAACCAGTTGTGCATCCACCTTATAGTAGGTTCATCTAGCCTATATTTCTCTAGTTTATTTATGAGATGATCACGTGACATAATATCAAAAGTTTTACTAAAGTCAAGATTATCACATCTACTGCTTCCCCCCTATTTACAAGACTTGTAACCATGTCAAAGGAAGATATTAGGCTGGTCTGACATGATTTTCTTCTAGATGCTTACGAACTGATTGATAATTTGCTCCATTGTCTTTCTGGGTACCAAAGTTAAGCTCACTGGTCTATAATTCCCTGGTTGTCCTTATTCCCCTTTTTAATAGATAGGTACTATATTTGACCTTTTCCAGTCCTCTGGGATCTCTCCTGTCTTCCCCAAATTCTCAAAGATAATTGCTAATGGCTCAGAGATCTCTTCAGCCAGTTCCTTAAGTATTCTAAGGCCCTATCCACTTGAAAACTTGTATAAGTAATGTTTGTTCTTTTCCTTTTTTAGCCTCAGATCCTATCACAGTTTCACTCATGTTTCACTATATTAGTCATCCAATCACTGCTAACCTTTTTGGTGAAAACTGAAACAAAAAAGACATTTAACACTTTGTCCATTGCTGTATTTTCCATTATTGTCTTTGCCCCCTTATTGTGTAATGGGCTGACCCTGTCCTTGGTCTTCCTCTTGCTTCTTTTCTATTTATAAAATATTCTTCATGTCTTTAGGAGTCTAATCTCATTTTTTGCCTTGACCTTTCTCATTTGTCCATACTAGCTTGTGTTGTTTTATTTATATTCATAATTTGACCTAGTTTCCACTTTTTGTATGACTCTTTTTTGAGTTTCAGGTTTGTTCAAGATCTCCTGATTAAGCCAGGGTGAATACCTATAGTATGACTAATGGCTGGATCCACCACGGCTGACAACAAGAGGAGTTTTGCCATTGACTTCAGAGGCATTGTAGGATGATTCTGGCCCTCACATGCTGCTCCAGTAGCATAAAGGGGGTGCAGTGGAGTTGCAAAAGACCATGGTGAACATTCTTCCATTGCAGGAGCTGCATAGAACCTATGTATGTAGCCCTAGATCCCCCCACCTTGCAGGTCACACTGAAGTCATACCAGGGAGCAGAGAGGGTGGATTGTGGCAATGGTGTTGTTACTTACTACGGAAATTCTATGCTGCAGGGCATCCACGGTCAGGAAGCTGTTTCAGCCCTGGCAGCAGCCAAGAATCTGGGTGGCACAAAAGTGGATTAATGCCACCTTTGGCTCCTGCCCACCTTTCCCTGGGCTGTGTTTTCTGTTATGCTCCTTGGAAGTCCTCTTTGATTAGATAGGTACATTCATATGGGAAGATTGTACAAAGCACCACATCTGAAACCTGGCACACTTTTAACTAACAAATATAAATTAATTATAGGAAAGTGATTTGTATATTCACTACTCCTACACTTCATTCCAACTGTGTTGAATCTTATTGCTTGTGTTGTAGTAATCCGCACCATTGATGCTGCTAGGCATAAAGCCAAGCTCTCTATAGAGCAGTTCACACCATGGCATGTGTTATTGTGATTATAAAATGTTAATTATTCAAAATATTTATATTATTAATCAAACGTTGATTCTCAGAAGTTCAGAGCCATGACTGTATTTGGCACAATTCACTGCTCAGAATTTATAGTCACTAGACTCTTAGAATTTCTGAGAAACGAATAGTGCTGATTACTGTCACAGCTATGAATTATCAGCCAGTGAGATCATCATATTTCCTTACCCATTTCATAAAATATTTTAGTTTACCTTCACCAATAATCATGTATATTACCTCAACTAAGAAATAATGCCTAAGAAAAGATATTAACCGTTTTTATTTTGTAATTTTGTTACCCTTACCTTCTCATATCCTCCTTTATGTTCAGATTGATCAATTCCTTGGGAACATGGAAAGAAAGAGTGCTCTCAGACATCTGTTCTCGGATATGCAGCCACTTGTTGTCAGAAGTGGGAAATCTGTATAATTTACAGATTGGGTTTTTTAACACTGTAGAAGAGAAAAAATGATGGCATTGCTTAATTGTGGCTATATGTTTCTTTCAGAAGCAACTACAATTGTTTAGTCCACAAATGTAAAATTATTTCTCTGCCCTCCTGTATTTCCAAACTTAAATCCAAAGATAAATGTATTATTCATTAAAAACATAGCACTCAAGGCTGCACAACCCAGTGCAGTAGATAATTACATTCTACCTAGTACAGTAGGTATCTGGTACATTTATCATTACTGCTGCAGTAAGAATGCAAGCTCAAGCTCTCTGGCACATATTCATGAGACAAAAGTAAAAAGCAACTTAACTGATGGATAAATAAACAGTGAAATCTCATGCTAAGAGCTGATAACATTATCTGTAACCATGTGCAAGGTGTGTTATTGAACTCTCAGGCTTCCATATATTTGAAAGTGAAACCATATGGGGCAGATGCAGCACATCCCAAATGATTTAGATTTTATGGTATATCCTTCCCTAGCTACACAAACATAAAGGTCATTAACACAAACAGGTGTTGCATATGTATTTTAAGAGGAAAATATGCCTCACTGATATGTCACTGCAGTCTAGCACCCTCCAGAACTATATGTAACAGTCTCGGGCTCAATCCTGCAAGGTGCTGAGCACTCTGTCCCTAATCCAGAAAAGGGATTACTCTTGTACTTAAATTCTTTGTCAGCGAACAAGGTCTCAGCGCCTTGCACGTTTAAGCCTAAGAACAGCATGTTTTTTCTCTCAGATCTGCTGCATAGTCATATTTTCATCAAAATTGCATAATGATGCTCTATAATGAGCCTGTGCAATTCCTGTGCTCTCCTTATCTCTGCCCTTGAGCCCTTTTTCTGTTCTCTACTGATTCTCCAGAAGAAGCACACAGGGGAAACCTAGAAAAGTTACCTTTTCTGTTACTTCCTAGATAAGCTTATTGGGAGATAAATGTTTGTCATTAAAACACACATACACATCCGCTGCTTTTTAATTCAGAATGACTTTAGACAGCAATCTGAACCCTCCAACTCTCCATCAAGCTACTGATCTTTTCACATTACTGGTAAAAGCTGCCTTGGACCAGCCTCTCATTGATCCTGACACTCACTATTGTATAATTCAAAGAAATGCATGACCTGTGATCGCTTTGAAGAAACTGTTGCTTTTAAAAGCACATCAACAAGTGGATCTTGCAACCTACATTACAACTCACTACTGTGGGAAGCACTCCCTCCTATTATTGCCTACGTACACTGATTCATGCAGCATGAATATCACAGCTATAATAAACAAAGGCCAAACCATCAATGATTCACAAATGCACTTTAAAAAAAATCAGACTTGTTATGAAAATAAAAAAAGGACTGAAACGAAAACAATAAAACTAGAGGATCTACATAAATGAGATGATTACTGGTAGACAAAGTTACAGCCCACTTCATAAAGAGCCAATATTGCACATGCTCATTTTTAACAGCTCTTGTTTATTTTCAGGAACTGTTCTCTTTCTTTGGTTTTGAAGAAATTTCATGAAACTACTCTTCTTCCATGTAAAACTTAAGACCTCTGAGGTATCAACCTCTTTTTTATTGATAATAAATTTACTTCTAAACTAAATTATTTAATATTAACAAAGAATAATTTAAAAAAGCAAACATAATAATCCTTAATGATGTTTAGCACAGATGATCAGCAGCATTTTTTGTCTATAGATCTCAAAGTACCTACACAAAAGTGATCAGGCATTGTTGTTTTAATTTTACAGATGAAGGAAACAGACATGGAGGTTAAATGACTTGTCCAAGGTCACAAAGTATTTTCTCTAGTGCCTTATCCATTCCGATAGACTTCTGGAATTCAGAAGCATATATTCAAAATATCACTTGGTTCAAACACTATGAAACATTTCCTATTTTTTCTCTTTCGTTGTGACTAAGTTAATGAAAGATGTTTTATTGACAGCACTGAAGTCCTGTCTTAATCCACAGCAGTGTAAAATACCCCAATGTTCCTTAACCAAGACATTGGAGTGACAAGCTTCAGACTTGAAAGGATAATTCAATATGTATAGCTGATTCTGTTTTGGCCCATGAGCAGAGAGCTGCCAACATGTGTCAACTCTAGTGCTTACTGTAATGTAGGAATCTGTTCACTATGAGTAGATTTCAGATGCTAATCTAGACATGAAAAGCTCATCCCTGTGTAGCTTTTTGAATATCTGAAACATTTTCAAGAACCTGTAAATTTGCACTCACAACATGTAATAACTCACATTTGCCTGTGCAAATCTGTATGTGCAATAATGCCAAAAAAAATTACAAAAGCGGCCACCTTGAAAATTTGGCTCTAGGAGTTTTTCTTTTTGCATTTAACCAGAGTTTAGGCAACACAAAGACTAATGAACAATTGTTGCTGTTGTATTGTCATCCTAGCAGTGTCTCCAATGCTGACAAAAGGCTAAAACTGCTATCTGCAAGCTCAAGAGAAGCATTTCAATTGAAAACTCTGGATCATATCTTGCAAACCTTTGCTCAATATAGGAGTCCAAGTAGTCTTATTTGCAGCTTTGCCAACTCTTGTGATTTCTTTGAGAATTTTCAGATATTTGGAATTTTTCTTAAAGCCACAGCTCTTGGAGTCAGGTGATTATGTAACAATCTTGCCTTTTTTTTTTCCTTTTTGCTTTGTTTTTTAAGTTTCTAGACCTTATGGTTATGGAGAAAAGCTTAGGAAACTTTAAAGGCTGAAAGCCAGAAGACAAATTAAAAAGCATCCCAAGTTTATTATTGTTTAAATCTCATGATTTTTAAGCCAGTCTCATCATTTTCAGGGGGCGTGCCTCATGACTTTTGAATGTTTGGCCTTGGCAGTAACGCATTTAGCTTTTGTAACATATGGAGTAAATGCTTGCTCAATCCAAAACTCCCTACATTTATAAAACTGTGAAATTTATGTAGAGAGAGACTTGCTTATGTACGAACTGTCAAAACATTTCACTGAGCAAAATGGAGAAAGTTCTCTTTTAAAAGTGCATCTATGTGTGGAAGCCAGGAAATCACTGCTATGTATTTATCAAACTGCATTTTCTGACATTCTCACTGTAAATGTAAAGACCGCAGTGTTTTCTGTTCCTTGGAAATCATTTACTTCTCCACATGCTATTCTTCAGCCCTCCCCTCTCTCCCCCAAATAAAACTTATAAAACAAAAAGAGTGAACATTATTTCTTGTTTGAACTTCTGTTCACTGTCTAATGAAGATCAAAGCAAACTACTGTCATGTTGTAAATTCTAATACTGTTGTTATTTATGGATTTTTCCCTTTAGAATAAAAGCAAGCATACATATTATTTCAGAAAAAAATAACTTCAGTTTTGCTCATTTTTATTAGATTTTAGTTACTTTTCTCCTCTTTCATACCTTTACGTGAAAAACATGCGAGAAAATTATTTTAATTTCCAGTATTATAAATGGATAAGTGAATTTCTAATAGTATAAATGAAGTCTCGAGTTAAAAATGGAATAATGATGAGGCTCTGTGAGATATTCATTTACATCACTCAATAGGGGCTTCACAACTCATTTGAGGTCTGTGAGTTTCATGTATTAAGATCCAGGCTTGAGATGAATGCCAATGTCCTACTATGCCCACTTCTTTTTTGTAAAGTTTCATAGTTTCCCTGGCATGATAAACAACTCGAGACAGAGAATCAAAAATTTATACTGTAATACACATATATAGGTACATACACAGTACATTACTCCTGGGGGAATTCCGCACCACTGCACAATTCAGAATTTGCGCAGAATTAATGTTCTGCACAGAATTTCATATTTTCCCTGCAGAATTGGGGCTGCAGAGCTGCTGCTGTCCATTAGGGACCACTGGACTCTGCAGAGTCCAGCTCTCCAGTTCGAAGTGAGCAGAGCGCCCAGCCCAGCACGGATGTAGGCTCTGCATGCTCTTGGTGCCTGGCTTGATCCTCATCAGCTCAGGGACAGGAGAGGGCCTGGGAGACCCAGCTCTGGCAAAGGATGAGGAAGGGCAGGGCCACACTACATCTCCCGGTGGGACAGTAAAGAAGCTGAGGGGAGTAAAGGTGCTGAGGGGAGGGAGGCTGCAGGTGTCTGGGCGGGGGGGGGGGGCGGTGCCCCACGATTGGGCTCTGGGAAGAGGGGGGGTGACTGTTTGGGTTCAGGGGGGCCACATGTAGCCCCCTCCAGCACCTCCCAGCTGGAACTGGGTTGTCATAGGGGTTTCTTTAACTCTGTACTCCTGGGGGAATCTTTTTTGTTGTTGTCTGTATTGCTGACAAACATTTTGAAATAAATTACCAAAGTACCTGAACTGGAGTGAATATAGTGTGTTATTTTGACAAATAAAAATTGTGCACAGAATTTTTAATTTTTTTGATGCAGAATTCCCCAAGGAGTAAGTATATACAGTGCAGTATACACACATCAGAAAGAGAGACACTGTTTACACATTTACACACAAATGCATATACACCGAAAGAGAGGGAAAGTGTGAGGTATATAGAGAACATATATATGGGGGGAGAAACACAGAGAGATTCATATAAACCCAGATATGTGGAGATGATATTTATGTAATAAATTATAGAGCCATGTGCTAAACTAATTTATCATGCATCTCTGTTTCATAGGTAAAGTTCAGGTTACATTACTAATCTCTCCCAGCCCCTAATCTCCCCCAAGTAGCTTCAACTAAAAAAAAAAAAATCAAGCAACCAGAAAAATATTTTTCATTCTCCCCCCAATATGTGGGCTTCTCCTCCTCCCCGCAAAAACAAACAAAACAAAAAAACCCACCAGCGGCCCAGGATGGGCAAGACTCATTACTGGACCTGTAACATGTTTTTTATACATAAAAATGTCAGTTTTAAAATCCTATATCTCAGAGTCATGCAGAACTACAAATAGCAGCTTTACAGGGTTACAAATAGGCTTCCCAACTGGATTCAAAGATCACAAGAAATATATTGTGATATTTTATATACACCTCTACCCCGATATAACGCTGTCCTCAGGAGCCAAAAAATCTTACCGCGTTATAGGTGAAACCGCATTATATCAAACTTGCTTTGATCCACCGGAGTGCACAGCCCCGCCCCCCCGGAGCGCTGCTTTACCGCGTTATATCCGAATTCATGTTATATCGGGTTGCGTTATATCAGGAAAAGTTATTTCAAGTCATTTTTAGAGGTTTTCATGACTCCCTCTGAGACCTGAGCACTTGGTCTCATGGTAAATAAGGCTTTACGGGTTTCTAAAAAACATATTTCTATCTGTAATGTATGTGGGTCATAAAGAATACATACTGGTGTGGTATGTTTTGGGTGACCTGCATAGCTTACTTGTGTCTTTCTTACTGCTGAGAGATGTAAATTCCTATACTTAGGCTGATAACACTTTTACAGCACTCCACACCATCATGTAATATTTCTTTGTATAATGAGAAAGAGAGAGAAATGGGTTGAGCATATAAACACTTCAAACCAAAGTCTGAAGTGAGCTCCGGAGCAGATTCTGACCTCAAAATGCCCTGCCAGCAGCCCCTTCCATTTAAAATCACAGGGCTTTCAACACAATCTCAGCTAACATTGTATAAACAGTGAGAGAGGCGTACTCAGGAGTCAAATGTGTGTGCAACTATAACTACTTTATAGTCATTAACACAACACCATACATTACAAAAAACAGTGGGCCTCATCCAATGCTCACTGAAGTCAATTGGAGTCTTTCCACTGACTTCAATAGGGACTGGATAAGGCTCCAAATGTAAGAGTATTCAGCAGAGTACCACAAAGTCTAACTTTTCGGGGCCAGTTACTGCAAATCCTTCCTCACACAAGTAGTCAACTGCACTCTACTCCAGTGAATGAAGAAAGCTTCCAGGAGCAGGGTTTTCAGGAAAACATCTTAAATCTCTAGTGGTTCTGAAACTCTTCAAAACTGGTATTGTTGTATAGCAGCCCATTGTTTTGGAATCTAATGGCAATCTACTCAAAATGCATTAGAATATATACATAAAAGAATTACAAACATCTTGTTGTTTGAACTACTAAAATGCCCTTTGAACATCTTTTGTAGTTAGCTTTTATTAAACATTCAGCGTCTGTGGCTTATATAGATGCAAATGTTAAACTTCAAGTGAACATTAAATGGGGCACAACATTTTAAAAGTGCTCTGTTCAAAATCCTTGTATGCATGAGATTTTGGCGGTTTTCCCTACGTTCTCCCACTAACAAAGATAACCTAGTACAGTATTATAGCCCTAATTATTTAAAGAAATTATGATGTTATAACACATACCTGCATTTAATAGAGGTAAGCTGTCTTTACCACTTATGCCTTCAGGTGCTGTACATTCACACACCAGTGCACACTACAAAAGAAAAGATGTAACACTTTGAAAGGAAACATAACCACAAATGGAATTTTTCAGAAGTTGCTGCAAAAGAAATGTAAAACAGTTAAATATGAATGGCCTTGGACAAAATATTTGTGATAAGCTATATTTCTAACCCTACCTGTTTTGTGAAGCGATTTTATTTTTAATTACTAATTTGCATTTTCCCTGTACAACTCAGTTGTAATATTTAATAATAGGTTGTAACACTGGAGTCTCTGTACAGAAGGCAGCAAAACATGAAGGATTGTCCCAAAATGCAGTAGAAAGAACTTTCCAAAAAGGCAATAGCATAGTAGAAAACAATTTTTGACAAGTTATATAATTTCAAAGGAATTTCTTTCAAGGGCTACTCTCAAAATCACAGCAGGCAGGCAGCATTATTTAGTACAAACGCATTTTTAAATCAGGGTTGGGGGGAAAAGGTGGGAATTTTTTTTTACTGTCCTCTTTTTGACATCTCTTTCCTCACTTGATGATTTCATCTCTTAGCACTACTTACTTTTACATAATCTTCTAAACCATTTTTAATGGCTCCTCTTCTGGCTTCACACTCATGTATAATTCTGAGCTCTAATGTTTTAAGAAAGCTATATTTTTAAATCTTGTCAACTGGTTTTTTTCCTTTCAAAGGCAGCACACCAGCTTCTGTTGTGTTCTTGTATTTCTTTTAGGTCTAAATCCTAAACAGACAGACAGACAAAGCACATAACTATGCTTTGCATCATTCTGTTTAGTGCAGAATAAGATAGAAGGAATCCTTCCTTCACGTGTTGGAAAGGCTGACAAAGTATTTTGCAGCTTCTACTGCAACAGTGAGGCAGTCATAGGCTACGTCTTCACTACAGGGGGGGGGGTTGATTTAAGATAAGCAAATTCAGCTACGCGAATAGCGTAGCTGAATTCGACGTATCGCAGCCGACTTACCCCGCTGTGAGGACGGCGGCAAAATCGACCTCTGCGGCTTCCCGTCGACGGCTCTTACTCCCACCTTCGCTGGTGGAGTAAGAGCGTCGATTCGGGGATCGATTGTCGCGTCTTATCGCGTCCCGTCAGATCGATCCCCGAGAGGTCGATTTCTACCCGCCGATTCAGGCGGGTAGTGTAGACCTGCCCTAAGCAAGTCTCTGGAGGCTGCTGCCACGCCCCCTTTCCACAGGAGTTGGGACAGAGGGAAAAAGGATTTATATAGCAGCAGATATTCTGCTCTCATCTCTGCCTCTTCCATAGCCTTCCCAGACGTGGCCCTATCTGCCCCCCATGCTCTCTATTGCAAGGGGAACCCCTATGTATCAAAGCTCTGTACCATACAAGGAATTCTGCCCTTCTACACAGCAGAACCACATGGGTTACATTAGCAAGAGAGTGTCTGCAGCCAAGGAGTCAGTGATTAGTATAATAAATTCTTGTTCAAGCGGACTATTTTAGTATTTTCCCTTTCTATTTTGGGCTGACCTTGCACTTAGTAAAACATTCAGGACTTAAGAACATCAGGACAGAAATCTCTACTAATGCTAGTAATTCCTCACCCTACTCTGAATTCTGAATGGTACTAACAGCCAGATCCTCATGTGAACATCTGGTCGTAGGAGGGCTGTGAGTGTACTGTGAAAAGGTTTGTGAGCAAGGGGGAGATGTTGCCCTTTGGAGGTGGTCTGTTTTGTACCAATCAACATCCCAGATCTGGGGTTGGCTACCAGTTTCCTTCTGCCTGAATCTGCAGACTTTCAGCATACTGAATTTTACACTCAGTTCAAAACTAATTGGTTGTGGGTATTTCAATATATTGATGAGGAAGTAGTGCAACTTCCTCAAAAATGTCTCTGGAATTGCACCCTCACCTGTTTGCACACACAAACAGGAAATTGGGTAACTGTGTCTCACTTAATTTAACAAATGCATTCAAAGCCCACTGAAACTATGGCTGTAACAAGTTTACTGTGTTCTTCTGTCAACCCACCCCATCAACAAGTATTGGAACCCAGCAAGGAGATACCAATTAATTCCTGCAGACTCACTATGGTTGATATAGCTCATTAACTGCCTCGAATAAATAACAGGGCTTGGGGACGAGGGGAGTGGTCCTCTCACAGCAGAGGAATTTAAATTGTAGGGCCAAGCTGCACCAAGAGAGGAATAGCCTGGGAAGGCAGCTTGGCCTATAATTCAACTTATGTATTTTGTGCTTATTAATAAAGCCAAACCCAAGTTTTGACCCTTCACAACACTAGTGCCTCATACTACATTCTGACAGCTCTCAAGTAGTGGTTAATTATGGTTGATTGAGGTTTAAATGAATACTTTTGTTCTAACAAAACAGAGGGGGAACGTTTGAGAACAGAGTATCACTTGGCACAGCTCTATGCAAATGTATTTTGAGTTGAGAGAACTGAGCACATATATTGTACTTCATTCCAGAGCTGATTTCTCATTTAACTTTTTTGAATAATGAGAACTTAAATCCCAGTGTGGTATTAGTAATATAGGCATCTGGCACCACTGATCATTCTAATTTAATTTGTGCAATGAGCTAACTGATTTCATACCTTTTGTCCCTGCACATCTGTTGTGATGTGGTCTACTTCCCCCTTCTCTATCTCCCCCATCTTCACAAAGCTGACGTCTATGGTACCAACTGTCTTTCCACCATCAGAAGTTCTGAAACCAAAAATAATTAAAATTAAAAAGTTTATTCTTCAGCAGCCTCTCGTCACTGCAATACAAATATTTATGTCAGTAGACATTTGCTCTTCTATTCATTTTGTAGCCGCTGTCATCTGTATTAAACTCATTTTCTACCACCATAAAGTAAATGGTAACAATAGGACAGCAATGTATTTGTCCAACACGGCTTATAACAAGGAGAACTTTGAATATATTAGTTAAAACTCTAGATGGGCAAGTGCTGTCTAAAAGAAGATTGAACTCTTCCACAAATACCATGAATGTTTTAAATGTTCTTCTGACTAGGGGCAGGTCTACACTTAAAAAGCTCCAGCAGCTCTGCATGCCACCATAACACTTTAGTGAAAATGCTACTACACCGATGGGAGAGCTTCTCCCGTTAGTGTAATTAATCCATCTCCACAAGAGGCAGTAGCTATGTCAACGGGAGAAGATCTCCCATTGACAGAACACTGTCTACACCAGGGATTAGGTCGGTATAACTACGTCGCTCGGGGCATGGATTTTTCACACCCCTGAGTGATGCAGTTATGCCGATGTGAGTTTGTAGTGCAGACCTGGCCTAGGGTACTTCTAAGAAAACTCCATTACACATTGTGCCAATGCCCCATTTTATAATCTACCAATTTACTGCACACATCAATACTTTGGTTTGGGGGATTATGAACAGTGAGAAGAATTGAGGACGCACTGTTGGAGAGCTGGGTTTTAAGGAGAGGAAAGGAACTTGGAGGATGAAAAGTGAAAGACTATTCCAGGTGTAGCAGGCAGCATGGTAAGAGGCATAAAATTGCAAGCAGTTAAAAGAGAGACTGGGAGTTCCATAGTAAAATGAGCAGATTGGGAAGAGTAGAGGGAATGAGGGGGAGAAATGACCAGGGTATTTTTAGTAAAAGTCATGGACACGTCATCGACGACAAACAAAATTCACGACCCGTGATCTGTCCATGATTTTTACTAAAAATACCCGACTAAATAGTAGCCTTCATATTGCCTTCAAATACATCTCTGCAGTCATTTCGCTCCCTCATTCCCTCTACAAATCCCAATCTTGGGGCAGCTGCTGCTGCGGGGAAGGGGGGGGAAGGGAGGAGGAGAAGAGGCGCCCCAGGGGGCTGCCGCAGGGTGTGTGCGCGCCAGTGTCACCAGCTGCCGGGAGCCACCGGACCAGCAGCTGCTCTGGCCAACCCAGGGACTGCTGCTTGGGCAGTCCACAGGGCTAGCTGCCCGGGGACCACTCGAGCAGCAGCCAGTGCGGCTGGCCCCAAGCCGCTCCAGCAGTGGTTGGTGCGGTTGGCTGGGGGCCACCTGAGTGGCTGGCTGCCAGAGCCACTCCAGTAATGGCCGGTGTGGCTGTCCATGGGGCCACCTGAGCAGCTGCCCCCTGAGCCAGCTGCTTGGACAGCCCTGGGGTCAGCCACACTGGCTGCTGCAGAAGTAACTGAGGTCGCGGAAAGTCACGGAATCCGTGGCTTTCCGCGACGGACACGGAGCCCTATGACTGTATAGGTGAAAATGAGGAGCCTGAATTTGTTATGGTATGATAAGAAATAGGAAGGCACTGGAGAAGGGGCTATATGGTTGGCATGTTAGGAGGGAATAACTTAAAAAAAAAAAAACCCTCGGAGCTTTTCCTTGCACCTGTACAGAGCCCCAGTGACTTCAGTGGGACTTTGCACTGTTCTCACACGTGTCCTTAATTTTACACACTATGAAGAGTCCCAAAAGAAGTCAATGGGCCTACTCAGAGTGTGGAAAGTTTAGCACATGTGTAGGTCTTTTCATGATTATGGCCTTGTTCACCGTAGTTATTTGGGATATTTTCCTGTTCCGACACTACAGTCTTAAAATGTAGTGACCTCTGTGGTTTAAGATAAATGTTTACTTATTGGTACTAGCCACTGTTATCTAAAATTGAAGACATTTAAATGTATGTACTCTGACAATACAGAAATACAATTTTTTCTAACATAAGCTTTGTAACATTGTATATAAATCTTTGTGTGGTATGTATGTGGGGTGTTGTTTGCTACAAACCAAGTGCACCAAACAATAATAAAAAATAAAACACACACACAAACAAACAATCCAGCAGCTCAGCACACAAGCAACCCTAGATTAACTGACAAGTGAGCAAGCAACGGGGTGGAAATTGGTAGTGAAAAATCAGGATTTCAGGTTGCCAGGGGTATTTATTATCAACAGTACATAAACAATTTTAAAATTTATGAAAAATAATTTGCTAGTGTCCTTTTAAAAAACAAAAGGTAACAGTAATTTAATGGATTCATGTCAGTTCCCTCTGTCCTTTGAATTACTACAGACTACAGCTTTGACCTAATTTTTCACCTCTTTTCTCTTTCTTGTGTCACAATTGGCACAGGTAGAGCAAGCTCCAGTACTCAATAGATAAATCAATCTTTGAGGAGAAAGGGAGTATGCCATGCAAACTGCTGTTGCCAGGTCATATATACCCTTTAAAACTTATGTATCATGTCAGGAGAAACTGGTAAAACATTGACAGTTCACAACAGTTTAATGCATTTTGATCAGCATGCCAAACTTTTGTCACATTACCAATTAGTCTTAAATATTTAACCAAGAATTTCAGGCAGTGATGAATTTAAGCTTTTCTGTCGCCTTGGACTGAAACTAAAATGTAAAAGTAAAATCTTATGCTCACTCTTCGTAGGAAATAATATTTCCAGGCCAAAAAATAAACCTGCAAGCATATTTGAGAATGTATTGGTCACAACAGGTCTGATTCTACCTACAAAAGAAATGCACTATAATAGAATGAAATGAAAACACCGAGATCTTGATACTCTGGTCCACCTCCTCCCCTTTTTCATCTCCTCACAGCAAATAGAAATGTTAAATCACAATATGAAAACAAATCTTATTTTTGAATGCTACAGGCACACAAATCAAAAAACGCTCCATAAATGTCCAGGGAGAAACCATCATTAGTTGTGTCAGACACTGTGAATTTAAAGTACCATTGGTACATAAGGGTTTTCAGAGAGACACGCTATGCATTTAGAACTCAAACACAAAATATTAGATTAAAATCTTGCCTGGACAGAGAAAAATAAAAGAGAGAGAAATGAAGCACTAAAATAAACAAACAAGAAGTGAAAAAGCCCACAGATCCCACCTATATTAGGTTAAAACAACTGATTGTTGATATTTGCTTAAGTACTAATGAATTAGTATGTTGTGTATTCTATATATGTCATACTGTGCATAGAACAGAGATATACACATACACAAACAATTAAATAAAGAAGAATTAGAGGGAATTTCCCTACTTTGGTGTGCTTTATATTGCATTTACACTAGTAGTTACAATACTAACTTGTTAATCACCAACAGTGTGCTCACAAGATACAAAATGATGACAGTCCCTGCCATAAACCACTTACAATCCAAATGACAGAAACATAGAAGATGAGATGCACCAGAAACCTACAGGAATAATCTGAGTTTCTTGCATGCACGCACACATGCAAACACTTCTATAAAGAGGGTGAAGGTCTAGCAAACCAGAATGGGGAATGCATTCCATGCTTATGGGAAAAAGGCACAGAAACAGGAATGGGAGAAGGAGATGAACAAGCCTTGGAGACTGGCAATCCTGGCTAAGTGGAGGGGACATATAGGCAATTTGTATGAGATGAGCTCAGAGATGGACACTTGTCTTGAACATAGGTAACAAGAAGTTTAAAATCCATGTTGGGGAGCATGGGATGTGAGTGGAGACAAAGGATGAAGTGGTCTGATCAAAGGAAAAAAAGGTAAGTTTAGTGTCTGCATTTTGGATGGACAAGTGAAATGATAGATGTGTCAGGGACTCCAGAGATGAGAAAAGGGGTGGGGTGGGGGGAATCAAAATGGGAAATAATCAGCGCATGGATGAGTGTTTTCACTTTGGGGGCAGAGAGGAAAGGTTTGGATATGCCTTTGCTGTTTCCTCTTTGGTGATATAACTCAAGAAGAGTTATTCTCTTGGGCCTGGTTAGACTAGGATTTAAAGATGTGATGTCAGCATGTGCTAACACACACTTGTAAAAGTCTAGTGGAGACCAGAAGAAAGAAACCAGCTTAGAATGTGTTAAAGGTCTTGTCTATATCAGACTCTTACCATGTTACACATGCTAACATCACACTATTAAATTCTGGTCTAGACAAAGTCTTGGTATTTTGGCCTAGCCAAAACCAGGATGTGGTGTAGATCTCACAAGAATTGCTGGACATCTGAGAAATATTTGGAAGTTGGGCTATGTAAGAAACAAGGATATATATTGATAAGCATCTGCACTTCTGTATACTTATTCAAATTGAAACACAGAACCTATATGGAATCTCTGTAACCCCTTGGTAAAAAAGTACTACTTTTACAGACAACCACCATAACAGAGAATGATAAATAACAAAGGATTTTCAGAAGTGACCAGTGATTTGGGTTGCCTCAGTTTTAGGGTGTCCAGATTGAGACACCTTAAGGGGGCCTGATTTTCACAAAGTGCTGAGTATCCATCCAAAAATCAATGGTCAATTTTCAAAATCTTGGGCAAATAAATAACTTGCATGTGTACTGTGCCTGTCATGTTGCAGAATGAAACTTTACAAAATGAGGGTCTAAAAAGAATAGACACAAAGAATCCCTTCACTTCCAGCTCCCTCTGGGATGAAACACAGTAACTATATGACAGTACATAGCAGTCTTAAACAAGGAGACAGAAACAGAAGTAAAACAAAAAGCTGTATCCAAGTGAAATTAAAAAGAGGCAGCAATTTTAATAAGCAATATGTGACTACCAGAGTTGAAATTTTGCAAAGACCCCATTAACACCCCAATTTTTGTGTAAGTTATGGTGATATCTTTGTCTCTTCTAACAGATAATGCCTAACAGTGTTCCTTACCACAAGGCTGGGGCTTGGCTTCACTGCTCATTCACAAAGAAGTGTGT